CAAATTAAGGTAGACGGAGAATTGCAACAAGCGCATGCATCAAGTAATTTGTATAAAGAGCCCTTAAATTTTCTGGCGTTAAGCAGAGTAGCTACGCGGAAAAATCTATGACCCGGCTTAAAAGCGGCACCTCTAATTGCGCCGGCACGCCGGAGGCCGTTAAAGTAAGTCTCGGCTAGAAACGCGTTCGTACAATGAAAAGCGGAGAGAAAAGAATATAAAGGGAATTGATAAGAAACGAGGTACTTAACCGATTGCAGAAGGAGGAAAAGCAATCGAGGCTTTAACGCGACTAATTATAACAAAGGGCCGAGCGATTTTCCGTCGCGTTTCGCGCTATCCGAACGCGCGAAACGGCTGCAATTATCGAGACCGACAGTCGGCAGTTTGATTAATTGCAAAAAAAAGTGCGGTCGGGTCGCAAAGTTCAAATATGTAAGAAACGTCACGCTGTTTTTATAAGTTGTGTAACCGTGTTAATCATTTTTCATCGTGGCATTGGCAGACGTGTTAATAATAACAGTGTTAAAATCCCCGAGTCACATTTCAACAGCTGGTTTTTCCACAATTAAATCGACAAAAAAAAAGTAATAGGTTCTCTATACACAACATCCAATGATGCAATCGATCAGATAATCAAGAATCGCGCGTAAATGAGCAAGAGGAAGGAGGAGGGAGGGGGGCAAGGGCAGCGAAGGGAGGGTAAGATTCGCCGTGGAGTGAGGCAGGTCCGATGAAATTTATAATTTGCCGAAGTTCCTCTGGCGTGGGCGATAATGGGGCCCGAGTTGCTTTGGGTCTAGCTTCGTTCCTTTTTAAGTTTTAAATAGTTTCGCGCGAGTTTTAATTAGGAAATTCATCCCACCGCCCCATTCGCCTCTATTATGCTCAACCACCCCGCCATGAGCGACGGCGACGGCGACGGCGGCGAGGGAGGTGACGGCCCGTTGAAAAGGGGTACAAAAAAAAGCACAACGGTCATCGTTTTTTCCAGTTAGCAGTAACGAAAATTACGACGAACTTATAACGAGGCGAACTTTTCTCCGATCGCGTTATTAAGTAATTACGCTGTACTTCGATCGTAAAATAGCGGCTCGCCCCTTCGCCGCTCTTATATATGTTGCTCGGTTCGTGAAAAAAAAAGGAAAAGGGAATTTTCTACGCTTCGAGCGTTTTACCTTGCAGAGGAATCGCCGTATAATATGCTTGTTAACGAGTTTTAATTCGTGTACTTTTACCTTACTCTAAATTCAAGGAAACGTCTGCTTAGGAGAAATATTATCTCCTTTGCCACATAACTCTTCAAGTGTTATTCTAACAAACGCCGAATGCAAAGAAATAAAAGCATTAAAAATAGTCAAGTTTAATAGCTCAATTAGCTTATCTAATGTAAAGCAGTCCTTTCCAAAGTGTTTCCGCGCCGATAAGAAAGTGACTGTGATACGGAATAGCAATGAATGTTTCGTATATATTATCGGATCATTCTGTAACCATTAAGAAATCTTATTATAAGATGTAATGATAAGTGGACGAGGTTAGACTTTGATTACCTTCCAGGTAGATTTTAGATTTGACGTCAGACATCACAGCCGTGTCAATACGTATCATTAAGTATTATTATTAGTCGTATACTGGATCACCTTGAGGAGAGACGGAAAACCGAAGTGGAGCGTCTTCATTGTAATTCCACGTGGCCGGTAGGATCGATCGCCGTACTTTTTGCCTTTCCCCCTTTCGCTTTGATACGTCCCGGCCTGAGGAGCATCGTTCCCCCCGCCCCGTGGCAACACTCCCTGGCCGTCTCCCCCGCTGACCCCGGCGCTGCAGCAGCCACCCCTCCGGCAACACCATTCGCCGTTTACTTTATTCTTATCTGAAATACTGGAGAGAGGCGAAGGTGGTCGTCCCTCGCTCTTTCTTCCCGCTTTTCCAACTCGCCTCGCCGCCACCCTCCTCCCCCCCTCCCTAGTTCACCCCCGCGATGCAGCACCCGCAGTCTTTCTTCCCTCGAGCTGCTCGAGGAGGTGGGTCACCTCCACCTCCGACTTCGTCTTCTCTCGAGGCGGAAGGAGCAAAAAGCTCGGAAAGAAGCGAAAGATCGGCGGGTGGGGGTCGACCCGGTTAGAGGGGAAGCTCGCGATTATTTTTAGGGGTTTGTTTGCCCTCGCAGCTCGCGGCGGAGATCGCAAGGGGAGCGAAGGGGCCAGATATATAATACTGTATTCAGATACTTATCTCTCTCGGCCGAGAGACGATACATCGGCGTGTTCATTAAATCTCCAACACAAAATAACGTTGTTGTTTATCACGTCAATGTTAATGTTACAAATACTTAAAAAATGTAACGTATAAATGTACAGTCGATGTAATACGACTTATAAGTATTTACAAAAAATTGAAGATAAATATATTTATAAACTGGAAAAATAAAAATCATAATACTATCCCAACATACTTTATAATTATATAACCCAATTATATAACCCAATAACATATTATAATTTTTAATGTGGCAGACAGGCAGACAACAAAATCTTAATTGAAATCTCTGCTCGAATCCCGGAAAAAAATTGCTGTTTTAAATCAAATTAATAATTTTATCGGGAATTCAACGTTGCGCTATTTTAAGAATTCACACGACGCACTTCTTTGCTTCGAAACATTTAAATAAAATCAAGCTACGTCGTTTTCTCGGTAACTATAATCTAGCTACGCTTATACTTGGCGCGAGACACTGCCGTGTCTCGTGACATAAGAATTTTTGAAAAAGTACTCTTGACCTGACCTTTTCCGCCTGCCTTTTTACGACTGGGCCGGATCCTAAATCTACCCACCCCTTGGCTGTATCCGTGCTCTCCGGCGACTTTACGAGGCTGCCCTCCGGAGCCGCTCTTTATCGCTCGCACTTTTTAGAAGGACGTAAAAGTGCCGTACGGTGCTTAAAACCTACCGACTTTTTAGTAGCGATCTACGTCCACCCACGGGGTAGTTATTTCGTAAGAGTCTGAAGCTTATCGAAGCGCACTACCGACCACTTAATTAAAAATATTTCCTCGAGCGCGTTGTTGGAGTATTTTTTTGGGGTAAAATAATCCATGATCGACGATACTTAATCCTTTGAATATATAATTATTCACAATACTATATTTATTGCAAAATTGATTGACGAGGATCAGAACAGACTTTGTTTGAATTCTTTTGCTTCGGGATTGCTTATAAGTGCTTTGAGAAAATTGCGCGCATTATATCGAAGCGTCCGTGATACTAAAAGAATATATCTGCATAATCTTTTCTCGCTGTATTTACGCTCCAATAATATAACACATTTATCGTATAGAAGAATTGGAATTTTCTAAGCCACGTATTAAATTATGCGAAAGTAAGGACGAAGGCCGCTTTGTGCAACCTCTGAAAGGACCGCTGATTAGAAATTCACAACAAAAAATTACTGACCGAAAGGGCTTCCGGGTGTCCGAGCTGCGAAACCCGTTTTACGACAGTTCAATTTTCAACCCTTTCTCTTCCGCCTTCGTCCCCTTTGCATCGACCCCTCTCGCCCTTTTGCCCCAGTAACCTCTAGGGTAAGAAATTATCGGACTCCTGAGAAATATTTTATTTCCGCGCTCGCAGTGACGTTGCGAGTAACAGGCATTTATCTTGCTTCTGTCAAAAAGACAATACAAAATCTTTGAATGGTGGATTCAATGTGTATAAATTAATGAATCCACCGTAGAAATTTATACTGTAATTTTTAGTGACTACATTTTCACTTAATTTCCCATCATAATTGATTAAATCCAGCATATAGCCTTGCAACGCCCTTTATCTAAGGTCGTTTAATTCTCAAACGAACGATCGTAAGAAAGACTATGAAAAAGATGAACGAAAACCGTGACCAGCGCAAAATTCATCGCGGCCGCAAACGACGTAAAAACAAAGGTTCTTAAATTTATGGTACAATCAAAAAGTCTTTATTATTTTCTCAGTGACGCCGCACCGCCATCTTTTGTTTTTGCCCTCTGCCTTGCCTTATGACGTCATAATTTATCCAGCCGACTATTGTCTCTTTCAAGACATTATCAAAAGGAGACGAGATCTTCACCCGTCCCTTCGTTTCGCAAACGCGGAATAGCGAGAGATTTATAACCTTTTTTCTTTCTCCGAGGTAATCGATTAATCACGGTAATTACATCGAGCTTACCAAATACTCTTGAAGCTTCAATAACTAATAAATTGCTGTAAGTGTCGCGAAAATTGGTCCGTTCAATGCACAGACGTTATTTCATACAGTATTCGTTATTAAATATAATTATCGACAATGCAAAAACAATACGATATTTGCAGCTCGCACTGAAATCTGATAAAAGCACTCGCAGTTTTTCTCGCCAAGAAAATTCCATCGAGATAACACACGCGAGACAAATTAAACAACGCAAATCGAAAGGCGATTCTCACATTAGCATTAATAAATAACACAATTAATTTCTGTTGAAGCCGGCTTATTGCGATAATACGTGCGGTGGCTTGTTACACAAGCTGTAATTGTATCGAGCAATTCATTCCAATGCCGCGGAATACAAATGTCTCTTAATTAATGCGGACGGTGGGAACAACGGACTTTTTCCTCCTCTTTTGTCTCGCGGCATGGCTTCCATCGTCGTGCGGACGATCGGCAGATAATCGAAAAGCTAAGCGACGGGAAAATTGCGATCGGAGGGGTGACCAATCGTCCGTGAAAATTGAAAAACTATTTCGATCTATACCACCCACACGCAGAGGGTGCTACCGAGTTTCCCGTTGCACCTCATCCCTATCTCCGGAATTGGCTCTCTCTCTCTCTCTCTCTCTCTCTCTCTCTCTTAGTCCGCGGGGTAAAACATCCGATTTCTCGGATTATACTCTCAATTATTATTAAGTGATCAATAAATAATAACCGGATAATTAAATATTCCGCTCGCACGCAATTTTGACGTATATAATAGCAATTCTATATGTATCACGTGACCGAATCGACGTGCAATATTTATCCGCCGTACATTATCTCCGGAACGCTACATCACGTCCACAACGCGAATACATAATAACGGCGAACGATATACGTGACTGAAGGTACGCCCGATCGTGTCATGTACATCAATAATAACGAAATAATTAAATTATGGCGAAATCTGCGGCAGTCCAAAGTGTCATGTATATAAAAGGAGGAAGAGAGGGGAAAGCGGCTGTTTTCCCTCTGTTCTGTTACGCGGAACAAAGGGATCCTTCGCGAGCAGCTGCACGGTGGTCGACCCTCAGAGTGTGACGAAATAGGGCCTCTTTCCGAATGTTTTGGTCAGGTGAAGATTTGCATACCGGTGAAACGAGTCTGTCGACATCGCGGTCACTCTCGAAACCGTGCGCTTCCGATTCAGTGTGCGCTCGGACGTCCTTCAAAAGCGTCAGTTCAGTCACCCGCCGAGACGGAAAAATGTGAATTGTTCAGTGTGTGCAATCAATGTCGTGTTTGTAATGTGTGACCGCCAAACAATAATAATTACGGCGTTCTTAACGTTTATCGATACGAGACGTGACCGTAGGAGAACTATTCATTTCTGCGAGGAATGTGGAAAGGCCGGTGAGTCTTACGAACGTGCCAATTAACAAACTTACCAAATTTAAATAGATATTGATTTATTTGACTAAAGTTGACAAACGGCTAGTGATTAACGAATTTGCCATTAACGTCCGGTTCGGAATTAACAGGATTCTGGAAGATATTTTTTCTACACTCACTCCTCGGTTTATGCAAACATGCGGCAAACAACACCACCGTTCAAACAAGAAACCAGACACAAATAGTAAGTAACAAGAAAGAGAAGAATAACATTCTGAATACATACATTATATTATTTTTCTTTTACCTCATTTCTTTTTTACATTGGTCAACTGTATTTACATGATCCTCAATCGCGTAAAAAAGCAACGCATAGAAGGAATACTTTGCGCAAATCGAAGGATCCCGTGTTTTATTTTAATTATTTTTTTTCATTTTTTCAATTCGTCAAATTTTTTATTCGAAATATTTTTAAATACCACACGACGTTTTTTCTCTTTCACGTGCATCATCGACGTAACTAGCTGTTCAGTCAAGTTTAGACTTTAAACTGAGGTTTCTTGGCAAGGTCGATGCAAATATCAATATAATTATTACTAATAATTCAGATGTAAACGTGGAGTTTTAACCAGGAACGATCGAGTCGCGTTCACGCCTGCCGGAAAATCATGCTCGCCAGCTGATCCCAGACGTAGCGTTTCGTATTTGCGTCATGTCACGTGTACGTAGTACACGCGTTTACCCGCAACTGTAATTTAATATCCCTTCGATCGCAAATCGTGCGATCGAGCGACTTGATGCGCGAATTAATTAAATTCCAGCCGTGCGCTTGGAAAGCAGCCTTCGGCTCGTTTCGCGTAATCGCGCGTTTCGGCTCATTATCACAAACATTAAATTATCCAAATTTGAAAATGACCCGTGATAAACTAAAAGATGTCTCGCAGAGATATTCGACGTACGCGGCCGTCCTGTTCTGAGAAATGTCTTGCGAAATAAGAGCATTATCGTATTCATTATCTGCGTTTGATATTATAAAATTGTTCTGTGTTATATCTTAAACTGTTATCCCCTATGATTAAACGACTAAGGTCCGGTTTCACCAAACGTCGCTTAACTTCAATTTTAGTTGAATTCACATTCGTCTCTTTTTATAGTAACAGTTGGAGCGAGACAAAGAACGAATTGAGCTAAGCTTAAAGTTAAAAAACGTTGGTGAAACCGGGCCTTAATGCGTCCAGAAATAATTGTTTTTCCGTAAAATATCAGAACCGGGTATCTTCGATAAGACATTCGTGGAACTCAAGTACTTACATTCGCGAAATTCAATCCTTTTCACATCTTCATGTCTAACATATGTATATTAAGAAAAATTAGCTGAATGAAAGTCTTGGAAAAAGTACGGGAGAAAGGGCTTGGGGCCGATCAACGACTTCTTCCCCTTACATTCGCAGTCGTTTCCGTTTACGAGTCGGCGGAATCGCTGCAGGATTCTGCATTCAGCTCCCACGCAAGAAAGTAAGAAGAGATCCTCGCGCAGAAAATGAGAAAACAGAGACGAGACGCGATTTCTTGCATACCTTTCGCATTACCGGCCTCATCCCCTGTCCCGCTCATTCGCGTTCACCTTTCCTTTTCCACCTACGAACTTTCTTGTTACCCGCGCGCGGTTTACCTCTCCCGCTTTCCTCCCAACCGATATCTCTTCTAACTTTCTTTTCTCTTCCTGTTGGCACGCTACTTCTGCTTTCCGCTGTTTCCATAAAAACGAAAACTCAAGACTTTTTCATCTTGAACTGAGAAAGCCGTGGAATATATTGTTCGGTTAATACGTTTGAGAAAATTCAAGAAAAGGGTACCATCTTTTTAAGCAGAAGTGAAGAACATATTTGGATGCGTCGTGCTTCAAAAGGTTAAACGTTCAGGGCTTAAAATATTCTTAAACTGTACATACAATGACGAGAGTTTTAAAACTAGCGATTCTTACTACTCAGTTTTCATAATTTAAAAAACATATTTTGCAGCTTATGCAAATAAATGTAAAATACATCATGCGTATGCACAGGATATAGCATAAATTTACATTATTATAGTGGGCCGAATGCAGTCTTCAGACCGTCGTCACTATTTTAAGTATGAGATATTTCAATATACATCGCGTTTCAAAATATTGTAAAATTTTGAGTTCTATCACAGTATTTATGTTAGCAGCTAATGTTCAATGGCGCCTGAGCGGATCATTTACACTATTAACGTTTAACCGAAATATCAATATAGAGTCGAGAGTTGTAATTGTTTTTTTCAGATGATGCTTTGAGATGTTATTTGTAATCTTTTTTCAGAGAAATCCGACATGCTGGAAGACATTGGTCAGATTCTGCGGTAACGACGGCGACCGCCCCTTTCTTCGGTCTCCGTTGAAAATATTCCCGGCCATTTTTCGCCCCACCAACGCAATCCACCCTCCGAAAGAAAAGCAGCGAGGGTGGGGTAGCCTGTAAGGGGTGAGACAATGGAAAAAGTACCGCCATCTTTAATTCTGTCCCTATTCGTCTCAGCGAGGGACGAAGGGCTATTCATCCCGGTGAGAAGAAAAGAATGAGATAAGAGATCGATACATTCAGTTTTGTAAATTTTCCATAATTTTTGCGTCCAATATATTATTATTGCTCAATTATTGATACAAAATGTATGAAAAAAGTGAGTATTTCAACATAGCTTGCATATTGTAGATATCTGTATCATTATCGGTACATTACTTTATTGCTTGATTGACCAGAGAGAAACATGGATAGCAACACCAACCGTATATTAATTCTCTCGCGATAGCGATGCATTCACAGGCGTGCGTACTCAATCCCTCCGAAACAATTCGCAGTGAATTTTTATTTCATTTCTATAAAAGTTTTAGACGGACTTTGCGCAATAGGCGCGTACCATATTAATAAATAATTATACTTTAGAAAGTAAATTTATTAAAATTCATTAATTTCAATTATATTATATAATTTGATAATAACACAATGTATATATAACTATAGCAAAATGCTACATACGTCATTTCTACGTTCGTAACAGATATGCCTGATAAAAATTAATGCAAAGGAATTTACAAAGGAATTTACAAAGGAATTTTACTTATTTCTTGGTAAATTTGCCTAAATTTTCATGAGTTTTTACATAAAATTTGTATTTTTCCCTTTGGTTACATTAAACATACAGGAATATTATGAAAAATTAATTGAATCTGGTATTTTTAATCACATAATTTGTAAATTAGCTTCCGGTTCATCCATAACATTTCATATATGTTCTTCATTTTACTTCTATACAGTAAATTTACAGTCCGACATGGAATTTTACTCTTTTGTTAGTGATATCACAGTATTTCAGTAAAGTGGAGTGTGCGCAATAGAGAATTTCATCATCCTAGTATGCTGCAATAGTATATATGCTGTGCGCGCCATTAATTTACTATCTTAAGGGAATGTTACAATAAATCATGTAATTTTAACATCGGACAGTAAACTGAAAAAATATTTAACGGAAACATAATTTCATTTGAATGGTAATTTTAACGTTTTGAAGTAAAATTACAAATCACTACGTATTTTAACAGCGTAATTCGAAGGTTAAAAATGACCACCGATTTTCACAGTAAAGTGAGGTTCAAATTTTTATCAGTGTGTACCGATGTGCTGTGCACGTCATTCTAGTGTAAGACGTTAATATTGAAATAAACTAGAAATTATAAAATATTACTTTATCATGTTTCGATTAATAAGTTTCTTATTTAAACCGAAAAGAGTAATTGTAACGAAAAGCTGTAATTAAATTGTGTTTAATGTTGATGACAATGGCAGAAAAGTTATCATCTTGGAAACATAGATAGACACACTTTTGTACTCATGTGTAAATATGATAACCGACCGTTAATTCCCTTGCAGCAGGATATCTGACTAGCCAATGTGTCTTGGGACACCATAGAAATCAACAGGTTCGGGTCGTAGGTGCTAGATGGAGATGCATCATCGCAAGCCAATTTCTGCGTCGATTTAATTACCGAATTATTGTATACAATGTTTTTCGTTGTTTATTTAATAAATTGACATAATTTTAAATGTAATAATCAACAAGCCTTAATTCGTATGATAAATATAATTTAAATGAAGCGTTATTTAGCATCACATCAACTTTATCGTTTATCGCTATAGTCGTGAAAAATTAATAAGATGGTAGAAACAGGATGTCTTATATAAAATTACAATGTTTTAGCGATTCAGTATTTTGAACAACTTTGACACCGATAATGTATTATAATATAAACCAATATTGATAACTGCCCATGTATAACTTTTACTTAGGTCAAAGTAAGTTTCTCTTGAATATACAATTTATTTTCAGCGGTTTTAATTTAAAAACCAAGTGTTAATTGTCATAATATTTATTTCAGCAACCACCCTCCTTAATAAAAAAAGTTCAATCAAAATACGGAAAAACATCATAAATATTATACATGATTGCAGTAATTACAGTGACTTGCGAAACCCATCAGATCGTATTATTGTTGCTAATTTCTTTTGAAAATTTATAAACAAACATAGTACGGTTATAGATATTTATTCATTTATGTGTTACGTTGACGTTGAAAGGTCGTTTATCGTCGATTGTCTTTTTCAAAGCAATTAATTACAGATAATTGTTGTGCTACACATAGAACGTTTCGAATAACTTTGTAATCGCGATATTGTTATTAAGTTTTCTTTTACCCATGCAAAATGTGTACGAATGTGAATAATTTACCAATGTAGGAAATTAATAATCGACACCATTGGCAAATTCTAATTAAAGAAATTTATTGCGAAAAATATTACCGCGGCCAGGGTTTGAACCTGGACCTCCCCCCTACACCCTAGGCGAGTGTCTCGCCTTCGACCACTGAGGTATGGTAGGAAGGTCCAGGTTTAAATCCTAGCTGAGGTAATATTTTCGCAATAAATTTCTTTAATTAAAATTTGCCAGTTGTGTCGATTATTAATTTCCTACATTGGTTAAAAAAACAAGAATATGTTTTATATATTACACATGTACTTAATTGTTGGTTTTTTGGTAAGTTTATTAAGAATTTATGATTTATTCATGTTTTTGTTACTATATCGTTTTTATTTATCGATGCGACGGAAGCATAAGGTCACAAGAGCGTAAGGTTACACAAGTCAACGAGAAATATTTTCTCCGCAGTAGCATGCGGTTTTATTAAAACACATCGTGACGACATATAAATCTCTTCTCTTTTTCTTATTTCCTTCGATCTATATAAGTATATTTGCCGGCTCTTTATCGCCATTCAGATTACAGTTAATGTATTCCATTGAATAAATTTTCCACTGAGAAACAAACTAGATGGTTATGTTTTTTATGACCAAGAAAAATTATCCCAGTAATTATGAAAATCTCTATTATTGTACAATAATTATTTCATGATAACCTCCAAGGATAATAATATCCTCTTCAATATGGATAAGTGCATAGATAACTAATCAGTTGCTCATAAATTTTAAGCGTCTGTTTCTATGTGACGATTCTCCTTGCACACATAAATATTTAATTAATCTGTTTCATTGAATAAACGCAATGAGACTGCAGAACCTTAACAACTAATTTATTAGTGAAAAACAAGTCTATAAAAAAAAGATTTATATGAAACTTTTTACTGTAGACACTGCTTATACGCACGATAAAATTATGTCAATGCACTGCGTAAGAATTGAAGTGTCAGACATAGTCAAACACATGTAAAATCCAATTTAAATTAGTTAAATACTTTAATCATTCGTGTGATCATAATGACCGACACGCTAATTCTTATGCAATGCATTGACGTAATTTTATCGTTACATAAGTAGTGTATGTAATTATGATTAATAAGATCGAGTCAAATCGAAACCAAGGACGCCAATTTTTAAGTCCGAGCGAGATATAGGTGGCTTAGTAATTAAATCTAATATGTGAGTTCATATACCGTGATCTAACCATGTATCATTAATGACCGTAACACACAATTGGAAATGTCGCGGTAACTAATGGAATGTTACTCGAATCATGCTTGCAAATGTATTTGTGATTTGACGTTTTTTGTAAGTACTCTATTATCTACTGCTAGCGTATATGTGTTTCCCTTGTTCTTCATTCATTTCTGCAATCGAGAATTTGAACTATTTCCTTTTTCTTTGCACTTTCTCTTCGCAACGTAGATAATTAACGTATATACATTGTTTCATTGTATTAAAACATATATTTAACAAATTTTGAACTATTGGGTCTGTGCTGAAAATCAAGTAAATTTCAAACGGAATTTTATTATTTGCCGGCTCTTTATCCCCTTATTTCAATTTTACACACTTACAACTTATCTGAATATTAAGTACATCATTATAGTATGACTTTATATTATATAATATTTTATATTATAATATATATTATATAAAATATTTTACAAAGTATTTATAATATTCAATAATAATAACATAATATATAATAATGTATATTTTTACATATAATATATAAATATTGAAGTAGACGTTATTATTCAGGCTATCCTGGGAGGTTATCATAAAATTATTATTGCACAATAATAGAGATTTTCATAATTACTCGGATAACTTTTCATAGGGATGGAAAATAGAACAATCTAGTTTATTTTTCAGTGGAAAATTTCATCAATGGAATTATATTAACATATTTTTCTCAATTAAGAAACAGTAATTTGATATAATAAAACTGTTATATAATAAAACAGAAATGATTCTCTACTTGAAGAAGTTCTCGGTATTCCGAATCTCGTTTTTCCAAACCAGTTTTGGTGTGGTTACTCATATTATCGGTGCTTAACGTTATATCCAAAAATAACTAAGGTATACGAATTTGCTAGTCCAAGTCATGGACAAAATCGGCCCAATCCAATCAGCGTATATTGTACAATATCTAGAACAGGTTTTGCGAGACGCACGGCGACTAACAAAGTTCTCGAGAATAAGGAGAGAGGCTGAAGAAGGAAAGATTATTCTACGTGTCGGAGGGAGCAGTCTGTCGAGGAACGGATGTAACGTAAAGTGCAGAGGCCACTTCGTCGCTGCGAGACACATTGCATCGTGCGTTCTGACAGATCACTCGCTCCGTTTCATAAGTATGCGAAGCGATTTTCACTCGTCACTCCACAACCATGTCCTATTATTGTAATCAATCTCTACTTACAATTAGTATATATTGCTAGTCAGTTATCCAAGTGTTTAACCGGATACCAAGAACTTTTTCAACATTTTCCTCAGCGTTCAAGGAGCCCGCGATAAGACGTATCGGAAAGAAGACATCAATAAAAACCGCCTTTTTGCACAGTAAGTCGGTCACTTTTTAGGTCAGTAATAAGTCACGATTTTGCGAAAGAAACGTAGATTTAATAACGGAAGAGTCAGTTAAACAAGAAAAGGTGCACTGAAAAAAATTTCTGGTTGAATATGGACGAATCAGATAATTCTTCTAGGATTTACCAGAATTCCTTTAGGATTTACCAGAATTCCTGTAATCCTACAGAAATTCTGGTAAATCCTAAAGGAATTCTGGTAAATCCTAAAGGAATTCTGGTAAATCCTAAAGGAATTATCTGATTCGTCCATATTCAACCAGAAATTTTTTTCAGTGTGAGATTCCGCAATTTTCTTATATAAATACATTAATTTTACTGTGTTATATATTAACGTTTCGTATCTTTTTGATGTTGGTAAGTATACTTCGTATCCTTTTTTAAGACTTGTGAACATTATTAAAGAACAGTCTTCGGTTTATATAAAAAAGATGGAAAATACAATATATGTATAATTATATATATACAAATTATATAAAATACATTTCTTATTTTATAACTATACGGTAGTTTCAGTTCAAATCGCTATCATGTTTGATATGATTATTCTTTTTCGACAAAATTGTTCTAAAATTATCGTTTATAACTGTTATCCATGTTAGCACACTAATCCGCTTTATTCCATTACGGGTAACATTCAGTTTAAATTATTTTTCTAACACGTATTTCTTTTCTTTTTATATTTCGTCTATTATCGTGTCTATTATCAATTATGTATTATAATATCGAATTTGGCATTTAATCAATATCTATCACGGAACTGCAAACAGATAGGGCAACGGTTATTAAAATATCTACGTACAGTACTTACGTTGTAACATTGATTCGAACACCGTAGGAAATAAACATGTTGACCTTGGCGTACACTTATAAAGGACTAAAGACTTAAATGTATCAGAGTCGATATTGAGAGGGAAAGGAATTCTTGAAAGGTTTCTTAGTATTCTTCCACATTTTCCGCCAAATCGTTTCATTAAATCTAACCACATATTTCAGCGATCTAGCTGTTTGAAATTATCTCAGTGATATCAATCTCTTACAACGGACACAATTGTCACAATTGTATCAACTTGTGTCTTTTTAAAATATAATGTCAACACAAAAGTTCAAGAGTCATAATAGAAATATACTATAATAATTTGAACGGAGATTTCATTCAACTTTTAAATAACAAAGGTGTCATATATAATTAAAACACATTTAAATTTTGAGGTAGACATATAAAAAATTTTGAAGCAAACATGTAAAAAATTTTGAGGTAAAAAATCAATGTTGTCGAGAGGGCAAACTACAGAGAAAGGATTAGATGTACCTGTTTCAGATTCCTAAAACATTGTTCATCAATATTCATGACGGTTGTATTAAGAATAGAATATATCTATAGTCAGCCTCAACTTGATGAAACGACAGATTGACAGGATATAATAGCTTGTATACAGGGTGTCCCATTTTAACTTGGACAGTAAAATATCTCAAAAACTAAGCCTTAAATACACAAAATTTACATATGTTACAATACACAAAAATTTTCAATAATTAGAACACAATTGCAACAGCATATTCCTGAGACTAAATCAAGTAAAAGAGTCCTGTACTACTTTTCCATTCCTCGACAAACAGTTATCGAGATATCATAAGCTAAACATATAAAAAGTTATAAATATTCTCTTGAATATCTCAATGAGTATTAGGACAAAAGTTGTCCATATTAATTAGTAGAATAAGATAGTATAATAAACAATAGGAGGTTTCATTTAAAAAATTGAAGGTGACCTTCAACCAATTATTCGAGGTCAAACCAATAGTACCATCTTATGTCCCCCTCGAAACCATACAACTTTTGTCTGAAACATTTTTTCCATAAGATTCAGCGACCTACACTGGCTAGTGTTTTTATTGAAAAACGAATTTACAACGTTTCGGCCCCGGATTTGGGCCCTTTTCAAGTATTCTTAGTGAATCACTGCGTCATTATTCAGTCGTTTGGCCAATACCATTACCCTGTGACAAAATATTGGTCAATTTGATTTCCTGTTCTTTGTTAGAAGAAAGTTCAGATCCGGACATGATTGTGTTAACATGTGGCATTTTAAACGTGCTCACCTTTCTTCTAACAAAGAACAGGAAAGCAAATTGACCAATATTTTGTCACAGGGTAATGGTATTGGCCAAACGACTGAATAATGACGCAGTGATTCACTAAGAATACTTGAAAAGGGCCCAAATCCGGGGCCGAAACGTTGTAAATTCGTTTTTCAATAAAAATACTAGCCAGTGTAGGTCGCTGAATCTTATGGAAATTTGTTTTTAAATTACTGGCGATATATAATTTACCACTTTATTTGAAACATTTTTGTTTGCTGGACTTAGTTTTTGAGATATTTTACTATCCAAGTTAAAATGTGACACCCTGTATAAAAATAGAGTATTATGAGGTAGGCTACTAATAGTTGTGTAAGATAGTGAGGTATCTGCTAAACAAATAAGCGCCAGTAGTCGGTTCCACCTGAACCGACTACTGGTGAACTTATTACTCTTGGAGTGAAAACATTTTTTGGAAAATTTATTGCTCGATCTTGCGTGTAGTCGTTATGAAAAATTGAATGTTGACAAGTTCTATCTAACAAAATTACCTTTTTAAGCAAGATACAAAAAAGGCCAAGTAAACACGTAGAAAGAACAAATATAATGAGCAAAATTTTGCTTAAAAAAGTACTCAAATCTATTTTCTCTACAAAAGGAATGATATAAAAAAATTGCACCAACTATAAAAATTGTATTAAAATGTTATGTCCAATGATTATAGAATACGATTTTATATAGTAAAAGTTTTGAGCGTATTGTTTTACATACCAATATTTCATGTATATTAATAAAAACATGAAAAATATGTAAATCTATAGAAAATTAAACATTCTACATTCAATTAAATGTGATTGTAAATGTGTTTTGTGATACTTTTCTAAAATTCTTGAAGATGCTTACAATCAGAATTTTATTGTCAAGTTCTATTGAGGTGAGTTTTTAAACCTTGTATATTATGTAACAAAGAAATATTTAGCAATAAATTCTGCATGCAATGTTAGACTAAAATTGTATTAATGGGGAAAATACAGGAACTGTTTAATTGTTTAGTTGTAGGGATTAGATTTTGGTGATCGCAAAACCGCAAGGCGTACGGCTTGTATTATGAGATATTCAAGGTACTCGTACGAGATAACATATACTCGAGTGTTAACAATCGCGAACATCTCAAATCCAAGTAATATCACCTGTAAAATGAGGGCGTAAACGACAAACTTCCGTAACTCGGATTAAAAATATTTAAACTTTTTCATTATATCATATTTGTATTTTATAAACACTTAATAAACTTCCGATTGTAATACTTATGTATTTGCACTTTATTAGTGATGTTTTCGATTTCGCGTGAAGCTCATTTTTCATATTTTTCTAATTTTCAAAAAAAAATAATTGAATTGAATTTTACATTTCAGTATCTTAAAGCTTATTTAAATTCCCTTCAAAATGAGTTATTATATCGTTTACAATCACAAAAAAATGAATTTGGTATCTCATACGCGGGGACTCTCCTCTATACTTTGAGATCAGCTGTGATGACATTTCTTTCCCTTTCAATGTAATTTTACAACACATTGCCAAATATTTTTATAACAACTTTAACGTGTTAACAATTCAATTTACATCGAGAATCACTTGACGTCAGCCGATGAATAACCATATTAGGCACTTATGATCGAACATGACTGGCGATGTATTTTCAATGCAGAAAATTTATACGCCTAAACCGAATAATGATGTCTAAGTGGAGGGAGAATGAATGAAACGGGGATACTTAAAACTTGCGTTTCGATAGTGTTCAACGGACAATCCGTATCGGCGCGCAGTCCACAAAAGTTGAAAACACACGCGTAGACGACATCTATACTGTTATTGCGACAAATATTATCACATACCTCGGTGGTCGAATTGATTGAGACGCCCGCCTAGAGTGAAGGGAGGTCCAGGTACAAACCCTGGCTGAGGTAATATTTTTTTGCAAGAAATTTCCTGTGTTAGAAACACATCGCCAGTCATGGCCGATCAACTGCTTAATCATGGTAATTCAATTTACTGTCCTAATGCGTATAAACCATTTCTATTCCTCGATAACATTTTATTTTATCTTTCGTCGTTATTGGGTTACAACAGAGCTCTGAGAGATAGGACACTTCGCGGCCGATTTTCAATTGACGCCACCCGCCGCTATTCCCTTTGCCGCGCCGTCCCGCGCGAAGCCCATGGAGCCGCTCGAGGCTCAGGAGCGTAAATGTGTTTTCAATAACTTTCCTCGTCACTCTTGAGGTACTATTGTTAACGCGTTATTCTTTTCAGTGGTATTCCCGGTAGGCACAATCCACTGATGACTGATTTTAATCAACTGGTGCCGATTTTTATAGGATTTTGAAAGAATCGCCACACCCCAAGCTTCACGATTTTGCACTTAAAATTCGTCCCATGTTTGGCTCTATATATTTCTGTGAGACATCATTTCCAAAAATAAAATTTATAAAACATGAAAAACTTCGCTAAGCGACGATTCTTTACCGTGCCTTACACTTGTTATATACAATAATGCCTATAGATATTCCTAACTGTGAGCTCGCCTGTGAAAAATTCCAAAAATCGGTCTAAGTTGTCATCATTTATTTCTGCTTCTGTCCAGTTGATTAAAATCAGTCATCAGTGGATTACGCCTACTGGGGATACCACTAAGTCCCAGTCTACAATAGAGATTTAAGCCCTAAGCCTTAAGAAATTGACTAATCACAGTCGCGCATTCTAC